TCTGTTCACAGACGCAGACAAGTTCATCTTCAAGAGGGTGGTAGTTTTCCGACACAACATATATATATATATATATATATATATATATATATATATATATATATATGCAATCTTTATATATTATTTGTCTGACGATCGCAAATAGTATGAAACCCAGGTACATAAACTCACATCAATCCAACTATATATATATATATATATATATATATATATATATATATATATATATATATCCAAATGAGAGGAAGAACAGATGGAGTAAAAATTCAATGTTCGTAGAATTTACTTTTAAAAAAAAGTGCTCAATACAAAGTAGAGTAATATATTATTATTATTATATTTTTATTATAAGAGATTATAATAAAAATATTTTGTAATCGCTACACAAGAGCTTTCCTTTTTCAATATTATGATTGTACTTCTTCAGGCGATTTTAAGTAACTGCTCTTTTTCTTCTTACACAAAACCTTTCATGTTTCCGTACTATGATTGTATATAACCATAGTACTGAAACATGAAAGCTCTTGTGTAGCGATTTCAAAATAGAAGAAGAATCATGAGAGCGAAAGATAACGATTAGCGAAGAAGTTTCTTTGAGAAGCATGAAAGAGAAAGATTATACGAACATCTGGATTGGAAGCTTAGGTGAAAGATGTAAGCTCGCAAAAGTTCTCAATAAAATTCAAAGCAGGAAACAATCACTTACCTGTAAAAGATAGAAAAAACGTATAGACGTTAGATTTACGATACCTTTATACAGAAATAAGTAGAAATACAAGAATACTAAACATTCTTCATTATTTACATTATTCGGACTATTGTCCTCATCTTCGTCGCCATATTTATCACAACGTTTCGGCTGTTGTACGCTCCGGCCTTCTTCAGGTGGCTGGAATTTCGAAATGAACCCTTTATTTCGCTCACTCGGGTAGACTGTTCTAGTTCCACATGCAATGTTTGAGGTATATCAGTTATCAGTTATCTCCTGTTAATTTTCCGTCTGAAAGTTCTCCACAGCCTTGACCGGACACTTGGCACAGTGGATAAAGGCGTTGGCTAAATCCAGTGACAAAACCCAGAGAGTGTGAGTTCAATACCCGGTTAAGGCAGTAAAAAAATAATACCCTATTTTCTACACGTACTTTTTAAATTTTATTTATTCGTTATGAAAATTAAATGATAGCATTGTAGTCCATCGTAGGCATGACGATAGACTACATCCGCGTCCTGGGTAAGACGATAAACTACGTCCAACAGTAAGGCCTCTCATCAGGAGGTTTTGAGGACAATAGTCCGAATAATGTAAATAATGTACATAATACCTCATCTCAGAAATATAAACAGATACTTTAAATAAGGGGTTGATATTTTTAGATAGTTTACTGCGCGGTTTACACATTGCAGTCCACTATATTAAGAAAAATCGTCTGTATTCACTCGATCAGAAGTTCTCAAATGATGCGCTCTGGGTACACTGGTGCACCTTGGAAAATGTCTAGGTGTGCCCTGGCATTCCAGAGAAATATGTGTCGGGATATAAGAAATAAATATATTATGGTACCCGTTTTATTATATGAAGGTACCCGACTCGTTCATATTTATGTGAATTAGGCTTTTCTGCTCTCACCACAATGAAGTGCAAAAAGAGAGGAACTCTTCAATGTATTGAGGGGTAAATGAGAGTTAGCCTATCAATTAAGTGCAAACAGAGAAGAACTCTCCAATGTATTGAGGAAGAAATGAGAGTTTGCCTATCAAATATACGCCCAAACATTGAAAAAAATCGCTTAGACTCCTAAGGTTCATGTTTCTCATAAACACAAGAATGAATAAAGTTAATGCATATTTCATTTTATAGTTTTTTATTGCATTATTTCTTTTCTGCAATATTTGACTTCATTATAACCTATTTTTCCGAAATTTATATATAGTGCGCCTACAATTATTGGCAGGACTTCAAGTGCGCCCCGACTTAAAAAAAGATTGAGAACCACTTCATTAGATGATTGTGTGAATCAGCCAATAAAAGCTTCTGCATCCAATTTATCTAACAATTCCTTTTCAATGGATAGCAACATGCAAGATTCCAAATTCTTCTCAAACAGCGAATTTCTTAACTTTGTCTTTTTGATTTTCAGCTTTGAAAATGTTCTCTTACAATGGTCTGCTAGTGTGCACATGATTTTATAAACTTCTTATTCCTTTTCTTTAATTAAACAGTTGTCCGTGTTTGTTTAATTATTACATTTTTTTTTAATACTGGGGGCCTTCTCTATCAGAGGTCCCTCTTACCAAGATTTTCATTTATCAGTTTCATTCTTTTTTTGGGAAATTTTATTTTTTAATTTTCATTTCTCTTTAATATTTTTCTTTTATTTCCCTCTTTACGTTTTCTTTTTAATCTTTGTTTGTTTTTTAATCTTTCTCATTCATTCATTTCCTGTTTTTCTTTCATTTTCATTCGACATTTTTTCTCCTTCGAAATTACCACTTTGTGTATATGTTTCTATTATCTTTCTTGATTTTCTTGATTTTCTTTCTTTTGTTCGTCTTTTTTGATTTATTCGCGTCTTTTTCTAATTCCCCTTTCTTTCTTTCTTTCTTTCTTTCTTTCTTTCTTTCTTTCTTTCTTTCTTTCTTTCTTTCTTTCTTTGTCTTTTCCTCTCACATTCATTCCTTCATTCTTTCCTTCCTTCGTTTTCTTTCTTTTTTTTTCTTTCTTTCTTTCTTTCTTTCTTTCTTTCTTTCTTTCTTTCTTTCTTCGTACATTTTTCCATTTCCATTCTTCTGTCTTTCCTACTTTGCTTCATTTCTTCGTTTTTTATTGTCCTTTCTTTATTTTCATCTTTTCTTCGTTTTTTCTTCTTTCTTTCTTTCCTTCTTTCTTTCTTTTCCTTCCTTCCTTTTTCTTCTTCTTGTCTTTCCTTTTCTTTCTTTCATCGTCTTTTCTTCTCCATCATTTTTTATTTTCTTTCTTTCTTTCTTTCTTTCTTTCTTTCTTTCTTTCTTTCTTTCTTTCTTTCTTCTTCTTGTCTTTCCTTTTCTTTCTTTCTTCATCTTTTCTTCTCCTTCATTTTTTATTTTCTTTCTTTCTTTCTTTCTTTCTTTTTTCTTCTTCTTGTTTTTCCTTTTCTTTCTTTCTTTCTTCATCTTTTCTTCTCTTTTATTCTTTCTTTCTTTCTTTCTTTCCTTTTTCTTCTTTTTGTTTTTCCTTTTCTTTATTTCTTCATCTTTTCTTCTCCTTCATTTTTATTTCCTTTCTTTCTTTCTTTCTTTCTTTCTTTCTTTCTTTCTTTCTTTCTTTCTTTCTTCTCTTTTATTCTTTCTTTCTTTCTTTCTTTCTTTCTTTCTTTTTTCTTCTTTTTGTTTTTCCTTTTCTTTCTTTCTTCATCTTTTCTTCTCCTTCATTTTTTATTTCTTTCCTTTCTTTCTTTCTTTCTTTCTTCATCTTTTCTTCTCTATTTTTTATTTGCAATCTTTATACCGAGATAATTTTAAACGACGTCATTTCAATGCAGAACCTGCAACGACCCTTCAAATTCAATTCAGCGACTATTCAGGTGGCCCGCCACACCGTTACCTGTTATTATCTTAATTGCAGGTGAGAGTTTATTTCCAATCAAGGCAACTGTGGAAGTTGGAATCCGATTAGATGGTAACAAATATAAAATAAATCAAACTTAAAAACTGAACAAGCGTCGTTTGTCAAAAGGATATAATATCGTTACTTACTTTTGATTGTAGACGATGTTTGATTGTATGAAGAAATACTTGTATGAGGGAATATTGAATGAGAAAACATTGAAAAGGAAGGGGAAAATGCAGGAAAAATAAGAATGAATGTTTAGAAATAAAGAAAAATATACTGAACGATAGACAATCTCCTCACAGATGAAGAAGAGACTTGAAGCAACAGAAACAAAGAAAAGTGTACTGAATTGTTATCTAATGTCAGTCCTTCTATATGGCAGTGAATGCTGGACAATCTCCTCACAGATGAAGAAGAAACTTGAAGCAACAGAAAGAAAATGTACTAAATCTATCGCAATCTATTTGGCTCGATCTAGGCTCCATTTTTTCACTATCTATCTATCTATCTATCTATCTATCTATCTATCTATCTATCTCATCTGTTCATATCTATCTATCTATCTATCTATCTATCTATTATCTATCTATCTATCTATCTCAGTTGTTCTACATCTATCTATCTCATCTATCATATCTATCTATCTATCTATCTATCTATCTCAGTCTGTTCATATCTATCTATCTATCTATCTATCTATCTATCTATCTATCTATCTATCTATCTATCTATCTCAGTCTGTTCATATCTATCTATCTGTCTATCCATTTATCTATCTATGTATCTATCTCAGTCTGTTCATATCTATCTATCTGTCTATCCATTTATCTATCTATGTATCTATCTCAGTCTGTTCATATCTATCTATCTATCTATCTATCTATCTATCTATCTATCTATCTATCTATCTCAGTCTGTTCATATATCTATCTATCTATCTATCTATCTATCTATCTATCTATCTATCTATCTCAGTCTGTTCATATTCATCTATCTATCTATCTATCTATCTATCTATTATCTAACCGAGATATTTCCCACCTTGCCACGTTTAAATGATCTGGTGTTTCTACAGAATCACCAGATGTCGAAGAACGTTGGTGTCATATACAGCTGAATAGTTTTCAACTTTCGAAAGCCAGGCTTGTGAGCTCGAACACCAAACTCTAGGACGTTAAATACACGGCTTCAGTCTGCAAGTCACTAGTAGGTCATTGAATTAGAACTCACCTAATTCTCAACAGAACTTCAAACACTCACCGATATCTGTGTCAAAGAGATTACATCCTTATATAAAGGTCACCAATTTTAGGATTCATTCTTATCCTGTGGTAGTCAGATGCCGTAGCATAATTCCCATGTCAGCCATGATGTAACCGACTGATCTCCAGTTGATAGCGAAGAACATAAGACACGGAAAGCATCTGTTTGCCTCAGGAACTTTTGCAATGTGGCAGAAGACAAACAAAAGCCGGGTGGCATCATTGGGTAAAACAGGGGTGCCTGGTTTAGTGACAATGAAAGTGCAGGCCCCAAATGTTTCCTGAACCTAGAGTTACTATGTGACGAGGACTCTGTTGGCAGAATTGCGGCTGTTGTTCAAGCAGACGATGTGTATATACAAATATGCGGATAAATATATTGATATCTATCTATCTATCTATCTATCTATCTATCTATCTATCTATCTATCTATCTTATTTTATTTATATCTATCTATCAGTATTATGCGTTTCATATCTATCTATCTATCTATCTATCTATCTATCTATCTTATTTTCCCTCAATCTGAGCATCTATCCTCCTTCCTATCTCTTTCGCTCTTCTGATTCCTCTCTCTATTTATCTATCTATCTATCTATCTATCTATCTATCTATCTATCTATCTCAGTGAGTTCATATCTATCTATCTATCTATCTATCTATCTATCTATCTATCTATCTATCTATCTATCTATGGTAGGATCCACCTAATTTGCATAGTGGAGTACCGACCATATAAATATGGTTGGTACCGAAGAGAGGGAGGAATCAAGAGATTCAACCAGAGACTCTGCCCGACTGCGACTCAGTCAACACATTCTCCAGGAACGGTCTTACCAGGAATATACAAAAGACTATATGTAAATATTGTGTACACTTTCTTGTTTCAATACATTTTGTTCTAAGTACATTTTGTGTTGCATTATTATTCCATGCATTAGTCAAGTTTCAACACTATCTATCTATCGTAGTCTGTACATATCTATCTATTTTAGTTCATATCTATCTATCTATCTATCTATCTATCTATCTATCTATCTATCTATCTAAGAGTAAAAGCTGAATTTTAAAATAAGGTGAATGCCTAAAATATAACATAAACTGTGGACCTAATTTAATAGTACCAAAATTCGTTTTTCTGTATAAACATTAATAAGAGTTTTAATGACATTTACCGTCCTGAATGTTCGAGAAAATATGCGTTCTCCGACATCGAACCTGTATTCCAAAACAGAAGCCATTATATATCTTACGTGCTGTACCATTAAGCTACAGAGATGCGCCTGGTTAGCAAAATCCATATTACTGTTTTTAAACACAGTCTTCGAGGACTATTCTCGATCGATCTTAACTGCTTCCGAAACGTATCTTAACGTAAACAATGACAACATATAATGAAATGAATTAAGTCTAAAAAATTATTTAATATATTTTCTGTTTATACATTATTTTTATAGAGATAATTTATTTAAGTAAATGCTCTGTATTTTAATTAAACAGCATTAATTACATTTACTGGCCTGAATGTTTTAGAAATTTCATAGAAAATATGCACTCTCTCACAGGAGAGTTATTTTTATAGAGATAATAATGCTTTAATGTTAGGGTTAAACTAAAATAGAAATCATTGTAATTAAATAATATTAAATTTTACTATGAAATTCAAAATTCAAAATTACCAAGTTTAAATTTAAACGCTATTAAGTATAATATATATATATATATATATATATATATATAGTCATTCACAGACATACTGTTTTGGTGTATCACATTACTCCATTTTCATATATATATATGATGAAAAGTCCAACAATTATTCAATATATATTCTATTTATACGTTATTTTTATAGAGATAATTTATTTAAGTAAATGCTCTGTTTTTTGATTAAACAGCATTAATTACATTTACCGGCCTGAATGTTTGAGAAATTTTCATAGAAAATATTCGTCCTTTGACAGGATTCGAACCTGCATCCTATACGGAACCGTCATTCACGCTGACGTGCCTTTACCGCTCGGACACAAAGGATCGTTCGGTAGGCAAGGGCGAATTTACTGCTTATAAACTTCAATCTTCCATGAATCTCGTACATTCATAACTGCTCATGGCGTATCAAATGTAAACAAATGACGTCATATATTAGGAAATGGACAAAGTCCGACAATTTATTTATTAAAGACATTTTTATGTTTAACGTTCTTTTTTTTTCATAGAAAATATGCACTTTCTGACAGGAGCTGAACCACAGAGAAGCGTCTGGTTTGTAAAGACCAAATTCATGTGGCTGAATGGTTAACAGCATGTGAGAATCAAATGACAGTTCCCATAAGAGATAGAGGTTCAATTCATGTTGGAGAGAGCATATTTTCTACAAAATTTCCCAAACATTCAAGCGGGTAAATGTACCGGCCTGAATGTTCAAAACATTTCGGTGGAGTAATTGTTAGCGAAATCGGAGAGCCGAGTTCAAATTCCAATCGAATCCATTACATTCACTTACGTGCTAATACCCTTGGGAAAGGTGTCAATCCTCTTCTTTTCCCTCCAGCTATGGGTAAATAGCAGGACAGACTGGCTTCTATAGCCATGGATGGCAACTGGTCTAGGAGAAGGACAACTCTGAATTCAAAACCTGCGAGGGTGTCGTTTGGGGACCTTGTGGCACGTAGTGCACCAGGTTTCTGTAATCGGCCCTTCAATAAGTGTGGATGGTCCTGCACGAGGCCTTCACCAATATAATCAAATCTCATGTGCTGCTGTCAGCTGTCGGTTTCCTAGGAACTGATCTGCTTGATCCTCATACGTCGAATTCGACGGGGGAGAGTCGAGTATATATATATATATATATATATATATATATATATATATATATGTAAGATTAATGTGAGTAAAATTATCACTTTGCAGATAGAGTTTCCTTGACGGACCATTTCATCCAAACTTTAAAGGGTATCAGCAATTCACTGTTTATATTTTTTTCTTTTTAAGACACATTTAGCACTGTTGTAAATTTTCTTCTGTATTCGGTGTGTTTGTGTGTGCGCTTATCCTCCTGCTCGAGTACGCCCGCCAGCACGGATGTAAGTCGTAATCATTTTGCCCTTTTTTTTTTTTTTTTTTTATTTATAGCAGACTTAGTCTGGCTTTGTTCCGGTTCTAGTCATGTGACCTATTTTTATTTATGGGAATTTTATTTTTTTTTTGCCAGTCGTATTTCTTTTATTTACGTTTTTATATAAATAACTGATATTAATGCTTAGACAATATATATATATATATATATATATATATATATATATATATATATATATATATTACCATTGATTTTAATACTTAAATGCTAAATACTTATATATATACATATGCTCACACATACAAACACATACATACACACACACACACATACACACACTCAGACATACATACACACACGAACACACACACACATATATATATATATACACATATAAGAGAGAATGAACAATGGTGTAAAAAATCATTTAAAACATCTTTTTATTATTAGCTCTTATAATAAAATATTATATATATATATATATATATATATATATATATATATATATATATATATATATATATATATATAAACATAAAAAGCCAGAAAAAAAACTACCTATGTTTCAATTCACGCGGATCGTCAGTTTACCCTGACGATCCGCGTGGGGAAACGTAGGTAGGTTTGTCTGGCTCTTTACGTTTACTTATTTTGCTCTACTTAG